TTTTAAATTCTTTTGAGAGTCCTTCGAGTAAGGCTTGTAATAAATTACATAGAAATAACCCAGATTTTATGTTATATATAAAATCGGCAATAAAGAACTAGAATGAGTTAATATAGAAATAGGATGACCTGAATCAGATTTGCAAAACAAGTATGGAACTATAATAGACTAGCACATAGCTCTAAAGATGTTTTTACGGATTTTTTCTATAAATAGAAGTGTAAAAAAATATGAATACAGTACTATATAAGCGCAAAATAATGCGCAAAGCATTATTTGAATGATGACCTGAGTTGGGCTTAATTTAGACCAAAATTCAAAATGATACTAACGCGTGTTATTGAGATCTATATAAATAATACCGGTATAATATAAATTATGGATGCTTTCATATTATTAAAAAAAAAGGTATGCCCAATAGAGTGTCCAGAGTATAGCTCTGCTTACGTTGAAAATACTTTATTACATTGTAAATAGTTTTAAAAAGTGTTTAAATCATATATCTCTTATGATATAAAAAATTATTTTTATATGAGCAGAATTATGCACCACATATCCTGCATTCTAATTGAAGTTCATCTCTATTGAATCTATTGCCAACTTGGTCTAGTAACATGAATCAAGAATCGATAAATTGTTTAGCAATTGTACGGTTTTAACTAATTGATTAGTCAACTAATTGTTTAGTTAATTGTTTATATAATTAAATTAAAAATAAAAATAAAAACTATTATAAACTTGTGAATAGTTTTAAGACTTTTTCATTTTTACAAATCGTAACCAAATTCTAGATGTGTTAACCAAAATCAGCAGTAGAAAAAAAGAGCTTTATAATCTTTGTTTTTGAAATCTCTAATTGCATTATTAAATATAGAAATGTTTTTTATATTTCTTAGATACTTTACTATAATTGATGCTTGTCACTTGATAAATTATTGTCTTTTAAAGTTTTTTTACATTTTAATATATCATTTTTTCTCAATTTTATTATCATTATTTCTCAGAATTTATCCAAGCAAATATTAGTAATTTCAATGAATATAAATACAAAATAATAAAAATTATTATTTTAATTGCACTACATTAAATATACTTTATTGACTAAAAGTAGCAATTCTATAGTGAAGTCTTGTTTTCTAAAAAATTACAAGAAATATAAAGTCATGAATCTATATAATAATTCAAATTGATAATATAAATTTATAAATAATAAAGCTATTATTTGATTATTATATTAAATATATTAATAAATAATTTGCCAGTCATCTGGAGAGCTATGTAATACAAGTTATACAAGATTTATATATAAATTATAGTTAGGGGATATACCAAATTAGGAAATCAGATTCTAGAATGATCTACATATCAATTCTCAAATTTGATTGGCTCTTACGCACCTTTTTGCTAGCATTTTTCAGGAATTTTTTATTCTTTAAATTCATTATTAGAAATCTGAATAAAAGCACAAGTAGATGATATAAGACGTCTAGTTTAATTAATCTACAATAATCTACACAAGTTAATGCTTGTCAAAAAAGTAAATGAGACCTGAAATCTATGCACAAACGGAAAGGTAAGAAGGTAATCTTGATCGCAAATTATATGCTTTTAAGCTTCTTACTTTTGCAAAAAGGCTAAGACGACTTTCTTTAGAAGTAAAAAAAAAAGCCGCCCTAAGAAAAGATGTCTTTGTCCTAATATGATTATATCTTCATCATGATCTACTGATCTAGCATACATCTAATAGGTTTTTTAAGATGCCATGTGCCAACTACTAGTGCCAGTGATAAAGGAATACTTCTTGTTCCTTTCTGCCAAAATCTCCACCAATTCTTTTTACTCAATATACAATTTTATTGACATCAATACCAAGTACTGAGGTAATCACAATTTGTATCTTGGTAGAATTTTGTGTTGAGAAGTGAATTTCATTATTAACATAGCCTGGGCAATTTTTTCTTTGTAGATCTCCATTTTATACACCCGGATAGTGCTCCACAAAATCAAATCAAATTTTGAATTTGATTTGATTTTGTGGAATACTAATTATAAGTACAGAAGTAGATAAGTAGTTTGTTTTTTTGTTCACTTTTTTTTTTTGTTGTTTTCTTATTCCTTGTTACAACTGATGCTAAAACAATTTTGATCTTTTTGTAGTTTTCACTAGTTCATGTAGTTCTTGTGGTGGTGATTTGACTAGACGGTGTTCTTGCTGATTTGATGACCAGATTGGGCACTAATCTTGGAACTGTCATCGTCGTTAATTTTTGAAATCATCGTCGTATATGAGTAAAACAATAAATCTTTTTCACAAGTATTCTTTTAAAAATATTTGGTGCGATATGCAACTTTTCCAAATATTTTCTTTAT